TTTATCTTTGCCATAATTCTCCAACATCTAAAAACAAAGATAACTTGCCAAGCAAGGTAACATACGCCCACTGGCAGCTGTCAGAAATGATAGTGACTAAAGTACGTATTTTCTCACATTAAAGAAATTTTATTAGTTTGAATTCAATGATATATATATTTACTGCCAGTTATTTATGCTGAGTAATTCCACAAAATTTTTTAAAAATCAATATCAATATCCTAAATACATCAAATTATTAAAATCACACAGCTCTAATATCAAGGGAAAAAAATGTTAAGAGTGAAATCGTTGAAATATCAAACTTGACCAAGATCTCATCAATATAAACAAAAAGACGTAAAACTCCATTCATTTCATTCATCGTAAAAATGAAATCTGTAGTCTCTAATGTGTTCATGAACAAATTTTGAAGCATTTTATATAAGTCAAGGACAATAACTCAAAAACCGTTCATCGAAAGATCGTCAAATTCGACCTTGATCAGGATCTCATCAATATAAATGATCACACCAAATTTTATTAAAATCAGTTGAAAACTGTAATCTCTATTGTGTTCACAAACAAATTCACAAACGCGATTTTCCTAAGTCAAGGGCAATAACTCAAAAAAATTTCATCGAAAAATCGTCAAATTCGAACTTGACCAAGATCTCATCAATATACATTATCACATAGAGTTTCATTAAAATCAGATAAAAACTGTAGTCTCTATTGTGTTCACAAGAAATGTTAACGGACCAACAGACCAACGAACCAACGGACAGGGGCGACGGCCATATACATTTCCACGTGGGCATATAAAAAGGCTTGAATGACTTGTTCAGTCATAAAGTTAGGGCACCTTAAAAATCCCCACCTTTTTGAGACTCTGGGATAGTAACAGACCTGAGAAGCCATGTAGATGACGGTAGCTGGTGAAATCCATTCTCTAGCATGAATACCACCTTCAATAAAGGCTGCTGGTCGTTGATTGGTTGAGTTCGTGGGTACTGAAATCTGAAAGGCAAAAATTACATAAAAGTCTTATTTGTTTATAAGTAATCAGATAAGGGATTGAGTCAAATTGTCTATTGCTAAAATATTTGTTTTAAAATTTAGAAATATAAAAACAGAATATGAACAACATGTGCTCTTCTCAAACTTCCGCCGAGAAATAAGTCAGTTGTGAAGATCATACAGGGTGAAACTGAGTAACAAAGTGTTTCAGGCTCTGTTTTCACATATCAATATCAATACAATTGATTTATTGGGTACTTTTTTAACAGTGATATGCGATATTGTCTCAATTCAATCAGATTCTGATCTAAAGCACAAAAAGATGATACAAGCATCCTCGAAAGATAATAAAAAGTATTTCAAATCTTTTAGAAATTTAACTACCTGAATGGCCAGCATTTCGCGACCTTCAAAAGATTTGGTGATGGTGATCATCTTGGAGATATTGGAATACTCCTGGGTGATATCCTTCACCCATTGCTCAATCTGGAAAAGAAAATCTGAATTATGAATTATTTTTGGTCAATTTTAAAGAAGCTAACACCAATTAACTCAGGATTTTATTAATTGCAAGATTGCAAAAACATCGTTGTAGCTGAATCCAAAAAGCCATTCAATGTGTTAGCTTCTCGGAGTCGGTTATCTAAAGATGTTAGCCTTCATGAGCTGTTTTTCGTGGCATTTTCATAATAATCGTTTTATAACTGCTCCGAACAGCACAGGGAGGCAAAGACGAATGAGCGCGGACAATTGTCTTATTCTGATAAGATAGGAGGATAACAATATATGAATCGGGTACACCACAGTGTTCAAGCGGTATCGCATGTGAATTTGAGAATCAAAATAATTAAACTTTTAACGATCTAAAATAACAGCAGTCCATACCTCTTCTATCTTATGATATTTACTGTAATCAAAATCATCATCGATTCCTGGAATACCTTGATTAGATTCCAACTGGGCGTCAATATAGATCTGTACATCGTTTATTAACGTTTCAGCGTGCATCCCGGCCTTTCCAAACGTATCCAGCACTGGTACCAGATCTGTGGCAGAACCAGATATATCTAACGGCCATTCCACTCCTGCTGATCTGTGCCATATGTCGATCTGAAATGGGAAATTCTTTTATGATTCGTTTTCTCATGACGTTGACCTATATAGTAGTGGTGGTTGTCGCGCGCGAAGCAGATCATGCTTACTCTTTTCGAAACACCTGATGGTACTTCTCTTTGGAGGAGTCCACTACTATACAACTGTTACTCTCGATTTTGATAAGCGGAATTATCTTGCTTCTAGGGATTTCTGTTTCAAACCATTCTGTTTATCAAAGACGTTTCCATTTTTATCATTCTAATTTTCACTCAGGTCTGTGCGGTTCTTGCGATTCCACTGACACTAAGTAGGTTTCTAGCATATGGTTACCGGTGTAGTGAAATTGAAACTTTATCAGGTAAGCAAACGCGGAAACTTAAAACATGGTTGATTCGTCAAGCTCTGCTTTTAGGCTACGATCATTTCCAATAAAGTGATGTTTTTTTGTTTTTGTTTTTTTTTTAGTTTGGGGGTATATGCTTCAATATCAAGCATATACGTTATGTTACAAAGAAAGATCAAAGAGATGAAGCAAACCTGTTGTGGATCTGTCTGAAGTTTTTCAACCAGTTGAAATTGTCTCTGATTTTGTGGAGTGAATCTTATAACTCGATGTCTGAAAAATTAAATATATCCTTGTAAGACCCCAATATTTTACAGGGTGGGGGTCTGAAAATAACTCAATTGATAAAGAACTCGTAATCAAATCAAATACGAGGTAGTAAAACATAGCAGGACTCGGAAATACGTGTAAGTGTGCTTTGAACGGTGATCCCTGTCATAAAAATATTGAATATGTGAACATGTGTGGTTGGATGAATGAAAGAGACATGCTTACCCGTTATATTTGACATGTTCTGTTAGACTGCAGACAAATAACCCAATAAAAATAACGACACAGGTAAGAGGGCGAAACTTCGCCATGATGAAATATTTAGATATTAATATGGTTTATTATCTATCATTTGATTTGTTATCTATCACTTGATTTGTTATCTATTTAATATAGCTATTGTTATCAAGTCATGCTGCCTTTAAAAAGATAACAGTGGCGATCGGGCCCGTAGCTACAGGGAGGGGGTGGGGGGAGTGTGGGGCTAGCCCCTTTTCCGTAAAAGTTCTGATAACCGACCAATTACATTAATTCACCAGTGTCCCTCCTGATATATTACTTACCCCTCAATCCTTATATATAGATGTTTATCTTTTCAGAACCTATTCATACTCTCTTCGTTTAGAACTGGTAACAAGAAAACTTTCATATTATAGACTTTTGTTTATTGTAGATTACTCGTGGGTGTTTTTTTTTAACTTAATACTAACTATGCTAACTTCACCTTATCTTGTATTGAACATTTATCTCTTTATTTGTGACCTTGGCCAGTGCTTTACATAGAAGCTTTTAGGAACTTCTTCACTCTTACCCCTCTGAACAATCAAGTCGATCTACGCCCCCTTTCGTCCCCTAATTTCATTTTGTGTATGCGATATATTTAGCATTTTAAAAAGATATAATAGATCTTGTATCCATGTATCTCTGTCTTGGGCTGTCTCTGAGAAGCACTAGCACACCCATCAGGATTTTTTCCTGAGTTTGATTCTAACCAACGGCACCAAAAGGCATTGCAGACAGCAATTCAACGCTTTACTGACTGAGCTATTCCATTGCCATCAGGTCTGGGATTAGGGCATTGCCACTGTGGGTCTTTTTGTTTGCACTATTGTGTGAGTTAACTGTAATAGGCAAAGGAAGGATGATTTTACCGAGCCAGTGCCTCTACAGAAGAGAAGTAGTAAACAGAGAAACAAAAAATGTCCATTTTGTTTATTGTAAATACTACATGATACAAAAATAGATATTCTATAGTCATAAAAACACAGTGAATAGTAATATGTCATCAGAACCAGCTGATACTCCACAAATAAATTCAATATTATTGATTCCACCTAAGATATTAGTTCATATCTGAGGATGATCCAAATATAAAGATGGGCAGTCCATTTCATTTTTCAGTAGAATCAATACTAATTGAAACTGTCTAGTAATGCTTATATAGTGTTCAATATTAATTAAACCATCTAGAAATAAAGTAGACTACTCGTGTGTATGTTTTGTACAATTTTTTTGTTGAACTATAAATAAAATATATCTTTAAATTAAAAGGTAAAAAGTATATTGCATTTTAAAACAAAAGACAAAAGGGTGCATTTCTTCTGTTTTTTGAGGTTCTATTAGGGACAAAACTAAATTGGGCATAATAGGGTATTTTTCCAATTCCAATTCAAAATGTATCATTTTAAGGTTCTATATGGGGTGAAATTAAATTGGGTATTGCAGGTATTTTTGAAATTTCAATTTAATTAGTATAGAGCTTTATTAGGGACAAAATAAATTGGATATTTTAGTTCAACATAAATGAAAATCTCTCTACAGTTCTGAGGCTTTGTGACTTCTTTCTCTTCGAGATTCTTGCTATACCTCAGAGGCCCTGTTAGGGTTATGTGTAGGAGGATGTCTTGGTGGTGGATGTCTAGGGGCTTCTATCACAGTGGGGCCCTGTGAGGGTTTATAATCCTCCAGAACTGGCTTCCATTCTTCTCCTTTTATGGCTGCCTACAAAATAAAAAAATATGATCAGTTTAATATATTCTTTTTTATTTTCAACAACAAATACTTTTCTTTTAAACTTAGTTTGAACACTTTTTTAACGGATAAAGGAATAGATTAACAGATTTTGAATTGTGATTAAGCACCATTTGACTAGAGCCTCTTTCTAGCTGTATCTACCTATCAAGTCTGATGTAGTTATTTGTAACTACATACTTGGCATCGTTCAAACAATTCCAACAATTTGAAATGAAATCAAGTTATTTTACATGTAAATACATACCACAAAATATATAATACTAGTAATAAAAAAACACATTCCTCCTAATAACGTTGGTAGAATAAAACAACATGGTACAGTTAACCTGCAATAGAAATAGATATAATAGTATTATTTAATAATTACTGTTAAAATATTGCACTGTGAATTTTGGTATTTACATTAATGTCAATAGACCTTATTCATGCCTTGTTTTTGAGACACTGAAACCGAGGTTCAAAACACAAATTACGCCATCCATTGAAAAGATGACGGTGTAATATGGAGGGGAAAAGCCAATATGATGTCACTAAACATCCAATCAACAGCAAAAAAATGGGCTTAAAACTTTCAGTTTGCCTTCTGGATTCAATATGACTGACGTCTGAATACTGTGAATAGAGAGACTTGATCATGATGGGGACAAACATAGAATCGTTATATCACATGGGTTAGAATTTGGTCCAATACACTAAAGTGACATGGTCCTGTTTAACATTCAGTCCATGGTGATTGACAGAAGGAAAATTGAAGACATGGGGAAATGTACTTACAAGAGATAGAAGACAAATCTAACAAAATAATTTCTGGTTATTAAACCACAACACTGAACAACTCGGCTCAATGGTCTCTGAAATCTAAAATTGAAAACTAAAATCAAAAACTTTCTCACTACTAAGGAGTGTTTCTATGAATTCACTTACAATGGAAATTTATTGAAACCTCCATGTTAAAAATAACAGTCAAAAGTTACACAAATTATACAGTTAAAAAGTACTACGAATTTCCATTTTACATACTAGACTTTAGTTAACACTGCTTTAAACCTGTACCGGTGCCTTCTGTTGAATAGTAGCTTGTTACCTTTCACAAGTTATACAACTATGTATTGTATGATATCTTGAATAAAGAGTGCCAGGTCTTTCTAGGTTATCAATCAATCAAGCAATCAACCAAATTCTCTGCAATTTTTTATGCAAAAATTCAGACAAGTAACGATTTATATCTTGATGTTACCAAAACTGACTTCAGTCCATTCAGACTCTATTGCCAGATTTTAACCAATCTATGGCCAAAATAAATATTATTCAAGTTATCTGACAGTTACATAGTGCCTGTAAAGCATTGCCTTCAATCTAAATGAGACAGTGTATTAAACTTGGTATTTATGTTTTATTAATAAAAACCTTACTTTCTTTCTACACATTTTCCATTCTGTCTTTTACTTCTGGGATATTCCAACAGTGCCACCAATATTCCTGCTACTCTAAGATTTTATTTAAGGAAAAGAAATTCAATTGGAACTTTTGAAAAGAAAGAACGAAACAATCATATTGACAAGAATAATAACATAGCCTCTCAATATTTCTCTCTGGAATCCTTTCTGCCAGTTGTACCTTAGTCAAACCTCCTGGTATTGATCATTTCCATATTAGCTTACAGCTAGATGACTAAAATAAAGAGGATCCTTCATACCAGCTGGTCCTGGCCAACCTCTGGCATTGATCTTCAAAAGATAATATATACCCTTTTACAGCTGAATTGACTAACATTTTTTAAAGAAAAATTGAATTGAAATAAAATAATTTGCTGAAACTTTTTTAACTGACTATTTTCCAAAAAAGACTTAAATAAAAATTACTAAAATTAATGAAGATCTACAGATTGAAAAGGATACATTCCATAAGCACCAAACGGCCAGTTGGGGAACTGTCCTGCTACAGCAATAATTCCTCCTAATAACACAACTGAAAAATAAAAAGCAAGTACTGTACTTCTATAAACTGGTCTTCCATTGTATCTGATGCTTTGACAGGGGACAGTTTGGTTTGTAGGATCGAATTAAATAAACAGCGAGTAAAAGTAAAAATATTTATCTAACATAGCACCGGCTTCTTTTAAAATATAAAATCAAAAGCTCAAACGAGAATGGTGCATATTATATACCTGTTGTTCTGTTTCCTATCATTAATGTTTTGTGCTTGATAAAGATTCCTGTATGTGAATTGAAACGTTGCAAAAATTATTTAATGAGAACGGTGCAAACTATCTGTACGCACTATACTGATGCGCATTATAATCCGGTATGTACGGTACATATACAACAGTTTATTGACAATCAACAAAACAAATAATAAGTACCTGCAGAAGATGCTATAGCTTGTTCATTGGCCCACATGGCCCACTCGATTTTACCCATCACTTTCTAGCCTATTCAAGTCATTAGATTCAACAAAATGTAAAAATATCAAAAAATTAATCGTAAAAAGTTTGTTTACGTTTGAAACTTCCGGTTTGACTCTTTAAATTTGAAGGTAAGAAAAGCACTGACGTAAAATTCAATGAATTTGTAAGAAAGAATTTGATTGGTAGCTCACTTATCATCATCCAATCATTTAGTGTTTCTTATTTTATTAGCCAAGGGAAGACAACTCTTCATAAAATTCCTTGCCGGCGAAAACTGCAAAAACCCGTGTTTCGGTAAAACTTTTATTTTCATTAATAACTTTGTAATCTTAGGAAAATTCGAGAGAATCGTAGCCCTATTTGGATAATCAAATCCAAGCTTAGCAATCTACGTAGTGTTGCTTTGATTCTGAGTATTCATCCGAGAAAAGTTTAAAATTTTGATTGCACCAATCTGGCTATAATCTGTTCATCTCACCATATCTACTATCTGTAAAACTTTACAAGGTTAATATTAAATAGCCATGGGCCATAACAGGCTACTACAGAGTATATGAGGGTTATTGTAATCATTAAGGTTAAATTTCTGAACAGGTATTCAGTGCTATTTATTTGTTTAAAATTTGTTAATGATTGTAAAGAGGTTTTCTAAAAAATGTTATGTGTATTGAGAACACTGCTAGCATCAATTTGCACCATTCCAATTTTCTATCAGACATTTGTTGTACCTGAAATTCCACTCAAACTAAGTGTTTGATGATGTTACTAATTGCAAAATACTGTATGCTTTATCACTATTAGTGATGTCATCAAACACTTAGTTTTAGTGGAATTGCACGAACCACACACGTCTGATTGAAAATTGTAATTTGGGTTTAATGCTCACCTAAGATAAAGTTATCTTTCTTTTCTATTTCAGGCAAGAATGTTACTATGGCAACTAATAATTGCCGGTGTAGCAGTCCATCTGATCCTGTTTTATTCCATTTTTGATATTTACTTTACATCACCCCTGGTCCATGGAATGACACCGCACAAATCAGAGTTCCCCCCTCCTGCTAAACGCCTCGTTCTGTTTGTTGCTGATGGCCTGAGAGCAGATAAATTCTATCAAGTCGATCAGGATGGTAAATCCATGGCTCCTTATTTAAGGTAAAAGTTTTTTTTTAAGAATATTTTTAAATTAACTTGCATCTTAAAATGTATTAAAAGTATAATCTAAGAATTTTTTAAACTTCAGTTCCCAGCAAATTCAGCTAAAATATAATATCTTTGGCTTTAAGTTTGGATCTAATTGACAAAATAAATGCAAATTTTGTGAGCATACTGAAAATAGAGTTCTGATTTATTTTCTAGGAGTATAATAGAAACGAGAGGATCATGGGGTGTCTCCCATACTAGAGTACCAACTGAAACACGGCCAGGCCATGTGGCTTTGATAGCTGGCTTCTATGAAGATGTCAGTGCAGTGGCTAAAGGTAATTTTTTTTATGATAGCCTTTTTTATTTTCATTCAAAGTATAAGTATGTAACCGAAAATTTTTTTCTTTATCTAAGGAATGACCTGAACAATTTTTCAATTTATCGCTGTATAAACAGAAAAACCTGTATACACTGTATAAATCTGTGTAGCTGTTGAACAATAAAACAATGCACTATTATTGGCTTGAAAGACAAACCCTACGCCCAGGATAATGTCAAATTAATTCAATATATGAATTGATCAGAGTTACCAAATGTTGAATTGTGATTTATATATTGTAGGGAGGAAAGAGAATCCTCCTGTACATCTCTCTCCACCTCTCCCTCCCCCTCCCCCTCCCCCTAATGAATGTTATGTTATGTATATTGATATATATTGTAGGGTGGAAAGAGAATCCAGTAGAATTTGATTCAGTATTTAATGAGAGTAGATATACATGGTCTTGGGGCAGCCCTGATGTTTTACCCATGTTCTCTAAAGGTCAGTGTATGAAATATTCAATCCTTTAAGACCTTGATAATGCCTCGTTTTGAACACATCAAATGCGAGGCACATGACACAAATGATGTCATCTATTGAAAATATGGCAACTTCATATGAATGAATAGCCTATGTGACGTCACTTAATACCCAATCAACAGTGAGAAATTGGTCTAATGTGCCCTTTCTCAGGAATGTGTGATAATATCATAATAGCCTGACTTTTAGCTATTATGAAGAGGCTGTCTATTGGTGCCAAAAAATGAATATTTAGATTTCCCTTGTAAGGTTTAAAATTTGAATTAAGAATTTATAAAAGCTTTCTTCTATGATTGATTTACAGTAGTACATGCAAAGCTTCAATTTTTATGTGTAGTTTTTATCCATGAATGAATGCAGTAATGATATTATAACATGACCTATTATTTTCAGGTGCCAGCGGAGACCATGTGTATGTAAATTGTTATTCAGCAGAATTAGAAGATTTTGGTGCTTCAGATACAGACATGAGAAGATTGGATACCTGGGTTTTTGATAGGGTTAAGGTCAGTCCTTATTTAGTTCTAGGCTTATTTTTTAGGCTTTTTTTCCATTTGTTAGCCTTCTGTAAGTAAATTACCAATTATCAGATACTGTGGTTTTTGATAAAGTTTAACTCACTATTTTGCTGATACTCTTTATTTTCTCATTTCAACTCTATTCAGAAATATACCAAATCTTTTTGTATCTTGTAAATCCAATTTCTAATTATTTTGTTGGGGTCTCTTTGTAAAGTGAGACATCAATAAACTTTATATGTATGTAACTGAAGAAAGACTACAGATGATAAAAAAAATTCAATTTCAACTTGATAATATTTTCATGTTTCAGGAGTTTTTTGAGGCTGCTAGAAAAGATGAAGAATTACAGTTTAAATTAAACCAGGATAAAGTTGTGTTTTTTCTTCATCTACTTGGTTTAGATACAACAGGTCATACTCAGAAACCGTATTCACAGTAAGTGTAGAAAATTATTAGAATCTGAATCGCTTTGAAAGAGGTTTATAATTTTTACAAGTATCGGGAACACTGGTAGCATCAATTTGCATCCTTAGCTAATCTAAGTGTTTTACTATGTCACCACTGAAATGCCTTCTATGATACTCAATTAGTGACGTTATCAAACACTTAGTTTTGGTGGAATTTCAGGAACCACAGACGTCTGATTGAAAATTGTAATGATGTAAATTGATGATACCAGTGTCTTTGATACTCATAAAAAAATTTGTTAATAATAAATATTTTACATACTGCACCTTTAACAATTTGAACGTGAACACAAGCAGAGATTATTCTGGAACTAAATTCTTTCATCCTGATTCTGTTTCAGAGCATATTTTAAGAATATAGAGTATGTTGATACTGGTATTAAAGATATAGAGGAGTTGATAGAAACATATTATAACCATGATGGACAGACAGCATATATCATGTCTGCAGACCATGGCATGACAGATTGGGGTAAGATACTTTTTATTTTAGACAAAGAGATCTGGTTTCATTCTGCTTTTAATGAAAGATATTTGAAAATTGCAGAGAAGTAAATATTCTGGGATTATAAAATAAAATGTGGGCATTTTAATGTATCAATGACAAACACAAAATGTTCAACAGATCAAAATCCATTGAGTCCACATGTCAACAAATGGGGTGGGAAACAATAAAAATCTATATTTTATTTTATTTTTTAGGTTCACATGGTGCTGGACATCCAAGTGAAACATTGACCCCATTAGTAGCCTGGGGGGCAGGGGTACGTGGACCCCAGACACAGGAAAGGTGTGGCCAATTTCAGGATAAATTCTGTCAAGGTATGTAGATGAGTAATATTGATAAATGAAAGTAAGAATTTAATTTTTCGAAAAATGCAAACAAGATTTTACTTTTACCCCCAAAAATATGATATTATTAATATGAATTCAAAATCAGTAGATGCCCGTTAAAGTCAGAAGCTGTTTCATGCTCTAAAGTAAGCTAGTCCATCTCAGTGGCTGTTCCATGCTTGTAATATCTTTTTATGAAAACAAAAACCTGCCCGGCCAGGGGTAGCTCTAAAGTAGGCTAGTTCAACTCAGTAACTGTTCCTTTACCTTGACAATGTTGGTCTTTCAGAATGGGGATTAAATCATTTAGAAAGAACAGATGTGGAACAGGTAGAGTTCTTTATCTTATTGTCATTCCTTGCTTATTTTTTAATATTTTTAAAATTTTGAAAATGTGGAAAGTCCTTCATTTTCTCATAAAATTTGACAGATATGTAAGATTGATATGGTGTAAGAAATCATTTCATATATTTGGTCATTTGACAAAATACAATAGAAAATGAAATTATTTTGATTTTGTGTAGAGCTTAGAACATTTGTCTGCTGATTGTAAAGTGTTATTTATGCTATTTATTTTACAGGCTGATATAACTCCATTAATGTCCTATTTAATTGGTGCTGCTTTTCCTTTAAATTCTGTGGTACGTTCAATCTATTATTTCATCTTGTAACTGACTAGAAAGCTTGAGTATGCTCTGTTTAATTGTTATAGCTTGTGAAGCTTCTTTCCTTTAAATTCTGTGGTAAGTAGAATCTATTATTTCATCTTGTAACTGACTAGAAAGCTTGAGTATGCTCTGTTTAATTGTTATAGCTTGTGAAGCTTCTTTTCCTTTAAATTCTGTATAGTAAGTAGAATCTATTATTCCATTTAATACAGCAAATAAACATTATCGTTCACAAAGTGACTGCATGCTTTGCCCCTCTGTTAGACTGTTTATCCATGTGGAATTTTGCATGTTGATTTATATCTCTCAGCAATTTTTCTTTATAATTTTGATGGTTGATCACATCAAGTACATTTTTTCAGAGTTTCAGTTAGATTTAACCAATGTATCCATTTTAACAACTTTGTAAAATTTTAAAAATATTTTCAGGGTAGTCTACCAGTCGACTATTTAAATTTAACAAAATGGCAGAAAGCTGAGGCATTATATTCCAACGCTCGACAGATCATGGAACAATTTGATGTGAGTTATTTTTCTTCTGTTTTTAAACCTTTATCAAAATTAGAATGTCCCCCTTCAAATCTGTAAGCATATGATATCTAATAGCAAAGTTTTGAATAGATTATATCAAACACTTTGACCCCTGAATGTAAATGAAGTATAACATCATATACCCTGAACTCCAAGTAATAAAAGTAAAAGTGTATGATGTTAACGTTGTATGATGTCACTTAGTAACAGCAGTATACTGACTGCTCAGGTATATATTGTGTGTGGCCAGTAAACTGGCCGCTAGGGTTGATAGGGTTAAAGGTATTGTTTACCCTCACTTACTATTAAAATATAGAATCTAACTCAGTTTTTCATCCAATCAGAATTTAAGTGAAAGTTTATTTTATTTAGAATTTTTCAATCACATGACATTTATACTCCCTCCACCTACTTAACCACTTTGATTTCAGGTAAAAATGGAGCAAGTTAAAGAAAGTTCCTTTTCTGCCACATTCCAATATTTCAAGTGAGTAATTTCTATTATATTGTATATTCTGTATGTCATTTTAAAGGGTTTCTAAAGAGGTTATCTAATTTTTTGTAGGTGTATAGGGACACTGATAGCATCAATTTTCAATCAGACATCTTTGGTACTTGCAATTTCACTAAAATAAAGTGATTGATGACATCACTAATCACCATCTGGGGCCATTTTCAAAATATACTTTTATGATTTTGGTGTTCTTGCCATCTGATTGGACGATGATTAGATTCTATTTTGACTTTTTATTTTAATTAGCCAATAAGATTTAAATTACTGTAATTCTGAAAATATTTATACTTCATCAATAGTCTTAGTGGTAACATTCAATTTCTGTTTTCTTTTCCAGAGACCTTACTCCTACTAAAAAGGTAAGGCATGTCCCTTTCTCTGTCTTTTTTCATATTTCATAGCTGAATCAAAAATAATAAAAAAATATCTTTAATTCTGTCTTGGAACATGACAACAAAAATCTAAACTTTTAAACAGCATGCTATTTTGGATCTATGTATACTCTGATGTTAGAATTGAGGGTTTACCATGGGGTAGCATGTTTACATTAGCAGCTTTCTTAACTGGCCAATCAGTCTCTAACAAGCTCTCTCATTATTGATGTTCTGTACTTCACTTCAAGGCACAACAAACAACAATTCTGAACTCATCTGATAAATGAAGTGTTTTGTATATATAACTCATTGTGTTATTATTTTATTTTCAGTTGAATGCTTTAAGAAATTTGAAAACCCTGATAAAAGCTGGCCAACATGAACAAGCAGTAAGTTTGATTCTCACAAATTTTATAGTTTATTTAAATCTGATGTTCAACTATTTGTAATTTACAAAGAACTTGGCAAGTGTTTCTTCATCAGGACAGCTAGATATAATGAGGGGCTGAAGGACATTTATTTTTTCTGATATCCAAATTTATTTAACTTGATTAAAAAGTAACCTAATTCAAAGAAGTTTTAGTCAATTTAGTCCTTCATATCTCCTGGGGGGGATTCCTGAAATCAACTGGACATTCATTCAAAAAAGTTGGAACAGAATTCAAAATGTGTACAACATGTGCAGAAGAAATAGTAGGTGCAGACAGAATTCAAAATGGCAGGGAAAGAAATACAAGGGAATATCTGGAATGTGACATAATCTGGTTCTGTTCCGTTTTAAGACAGAATTGGAACAAACGGAACTTGTTCAGAACTCACCAATCAAGTGCCACTATAGTCTTGTAGTCTAAAAGAAGGAATTCATTGGGGTTTTTTTTGATTGTAGATATCAGAAGGACAAGAATTAATTCAGACTATTTTACAAGGTTTAAATTATTACCAGACCTATAATAGATCTTTTCTAGGGTAAGTACAATGGCTCAAATAGATTAGAAGTAGGGGCCTGTGACATAAGTGGGTCATAAGCCATTATGTTAACAGCCTATCAGTCAAGGGCTCTGATTGGCTTATTCTTTGGCATACAATCCAATCACATAGCTGCATTCTATGATGCGAGCGACTATTGCAGTCAAGGTATTAGATGAAGTTTGTAATAGCTCGACATTGTGAAGATCAAGAACAAGTGGCTCAGAGTTTCACTCTATGAGATCTTCAGGTTCTGGGCCCAGTTCCACAAAAAATCTTAAGATCAATTTTGTTGATATTTCTCAATGTAAAACTCTACATCTTAGACAAATTCTTAATAAGATTTTTTATGGAATGGGACCCAGTTTTGATATTTCGAAACGTTTGTTTATATTTTAGAACGAGTATCGTATCAGGGTTTCTAGGATGGATGGCGTTCGTATTACAGTTAGTTTTACACAGATATTCTAGTTTAAAATATCAGGTGAAACAGTGTCAGTCTAGTCTAGTTAATATGATATTCTATATGATTGGTCTAGTTGTTATAACCTTACTATACAGTAAGTATATATTTCTATCTCTTATGTGTTGAGTGGCGATGTTCATTTGGTGACTTCGAGCCCGGTTATATGTGCGGATAGTGGTTTGCCGAAGAATTACTATAGCATGTATCAAGGAATGAGGGATTAGATATATCACCTTCACATTTTCAAGCTATTACGAACTGTATGTTATACTTTGACTGCTTTATCCACCTTTCTTGTATCACTCACGTTTGTAAATGCAGCCAATCAGAGTCCTTTACAGAAAGTCAACAGACCATAAGCCATAATGTTTATAGGCTTTATGTCCAGGGCTCTGATTGGCTGTTCAGTGAAATCAAATCGCTTCATTCTGTGATACAAGAAAGGTAGCTATTGTAGTCAAGGTATAAGATGCAGTTCGTAATAGCTTGACATTGTGAAGATAGGGTAATACATGCTATAGAAAATATCTATAAATTTTATCCAATATATTGGCTGTTTGTGGAAAATAAGCAATTTTTTTCAGATTATTTAATGTATACAGTCGACTCCTGTTTTAGCAGTTGCTAATATTCCATTTTATATATAGAATATATTTGAATTTGTGTTTCAGTGATGCACGCACCTGTAATGTATTATGTATATTGTTTACTGCCAGTTGTCTTGTGGAATAAAGCTATACATGGGTGAGAAATTTTGTAATTATTTGTAATTTTTGACAGAAGATATTGGCCAGATTCTTATTTCAACTCAAACTGATTTCTCCTCAGAATGTGAAATTGACCTTTGAACTAAAGATTTGTGACTCACAGAACTTATTGGTTTTGTGGTCTTAATTGCCCCTATTACTGACTTTATTGTACACATCTCCATTTTAAGATTCATGTACCTGTTTTGTAAAATTAATTGATCTGCTCATTTCTGTTCTGATAGATATGGATTCATTTCTCCTTTGATTTGTAATGAAGAATCAAAGGTACAATGGGCTGTTATTTCTTATAACAGTTGAGAAATTGTTCATTTTAAAGCGTCTAGTCTTTCAGATGTGATAATAAACACATACACCGTGTGCTACAGGCTGTGCATTTTATAGATCCCTCGACAGTTGGAAATCAAAAAAGAGCAGGCTAATGCCACTGTTGTGTCCAAATTTCCCTCATTGCACACTGCATGGTTTTGGCTTTCTTCATTAGCCCAATTAGTTGCAGAATAGTAAAACAACATTTCATTTCTGTTATAGATGTAAAAGTATAATAGAGAACAGTAGAAGAATGATTAATAAAAACAATATGGTTGAACTAGCCTTGTCTATTGTTAGTACAGTATTAGGACTACAGATATTGGTAAGATATATATTATATTGATATTATTCAGTAGTGTTACACACAGGGTTAAAGTTAATCGGTATTGCATGGCAGTTTGCGAGTCAAAATGATCCCTTGTGCGATCCAATATTTTCTTTGATTACCCAAATTATAATTTATCACGGCAATCTACAAATCAAATCCGAACGCCCCAAAATCCCTTTAATTGATATGAATATATTTATACGTTATGTATTATTTGTTGATTTATCACTATTTCAGGTTGTAGGATTTTTCTATCGTGAATTATTGTCTCTAGTATTACTAGGAATGGCCGTTTGGCCTCTTTCTTCTTCCAATACAGCTAGCAAGGTAGGTCACTTGTACTGAATTATCTAAGGTGGCCCTCGATTGGTTAGATCTGAACAGTTTCCCCCTGTTCCAATTCTGGCTTCAATAGAACAGTACAGAACTGGATCACATTCAAAATTTGCCCATCTATTCCTTACTCCACCGTTATGAATTCTGTCTACTTCAACCTTTTTTTCGGCAGATGGAACGTGTTCTGAACATTGTTCCAACTTGTTTTAGTGAACACGTGCAGAACTCTCCTATCGAGCGCCCACCAAAAGTGTATAGCAGTTATAAACCTGTAACACAGACTGTAGTACATTTGGTTAAAGCCTAGGAATGACGTTGTTTGCCTAGTTACATCAAATAAATGGTTGTCGTGAGTTCTATTCTTGGTCAGCACGTTATTTCTGAATTTCTACTATAATCTTATGTGCTATGAATATTTCTTGTATTTCTTTGCCAAATTTAATGTCATGGATTATAAATTTCAGTGTACGAAGATTGGCTGGAGTATTAGCTGTCTCTTATTAGCGATATTTCCTCTCTTACCATTGGTCGGTCAGAATTCAAACTATACTTTAGTGTAAGTTATTACTTCATTCATATTCATAAGATGTTAGGGAAGGGCACATCGTTTCCTCATCACATTCTAAAATATTTGATACTTGTGTTGAATTGTGGTCATCATGTAATGCATATTCATAACATATTTTGGAAGGGCACATTGTCTCTAAACACTTACCAATATAACATATTGCTCTAGACTGAAACATCTTGTATGATGGCTATTTTGACAGTTATCAGAGATAAATCAGTAGGTTTAAAATCCTCACACGGACCGAGAAAATCCTGACCCCATCCAGCTGCCAACTGTCAAAATAGTTACCAGATGCTGGAATAGAGGATGATGTTTCGGACTAAAATTCTAACCGTGTTTAATTGTGGATATTTTACTTGGTATCAGGGAGCAGATAATAATTTTGATATAATGTTACATCAGTGACTATCCACACAACTCTTTAACACTCCATCATCATAACCCACTGGATGCAGAAAAGCTATGTTTGAATTTCTCTCTCTGTTTATTTTTAGATTATGTTCTGGAATATTACAGGTCAGTATTGGTCTGATTATCACTAAAAGGTAATTATAACATATTACAGACAGAGATATTTTCAGTGTATATAAACCTTGTAAAAACAGACTTAACTGGGCTATAACTAGTTTATATGGAAGTTATTGCAGTTTATTTTTCAAAATGAAATGAAATGGATGGTGTTTTACATCCTACTTTTCTGCACCATGTTGTCTAACGAAGACGGACAACACCATGCAGAGTGCAATGAGAGAAATTTTGCAAGGATGCTCTTTTTCGATTTCCAGCTGTTGAGGGATCTTTAACATGTACAGCCTGAAGAACACAGGGCCTCGGTTTATTGTCGCATCCGATTGTCTAAATGTTTTTTCCATGTCAGCCCCTCTTACCTGTATTTATTTTTCAGACAATATGATGTTCAAAAAGTTAAAAGTATTAATTATATTTTACTATTAGAGGTAACTATTCTTTATTTTATTTAGAAACAACTTTAATATTTTATCATTTAGCGTATCTTTTTTAAATTCTATATATATACTATTCTTAGATCTGTTATTAAATTATATATTGCAAGCTGCTCGCATAAATTTCTAGAAAAAGAGACTGACCCGGCCTTGGACCCTGAACTTTCAAATTTCTTGTCATTGTACATCGTGCTTACCCCCCCTTGATGATTCTGTGGACCCTACTCGCCCGCTTTCTTAGTGATTCATAGAAATACCACTGCTTGTTTTAACTATATATATTCAAACATAATGAATTGTGTCTATGTTTTCCAGACTATATTAGTTATTTTATCAACATGTGTGGTGTTTGATACTAAAAATAGTATCAATGAAGGTCAAGGCCTACCAGTCACATGTCAAATATTTAGTTGGACGTTACTAGGTGAGTTAAAAGACAAAGTTTGCCCATTCAGTCATTTGTACCTTTGAATCAGAGATGAGAATTGTCAGCTAAGCTAATCGGTTATAGTATTCACGGCTTACCATTGAAATTTCAGCCTCTTAAGAGCCTTCATTTTAACACAGTAGCCTCAATCTTCCAGTCCCAACTGCGACAAAAAATGTCTTGGTGTTAGAGGCTATATTAACAAGAGAAGATTAGATCGAAACATCTGCCTCTATTTCAGCCTCTGATATCATTTAGATAGTGATACAGAGAAATCTTGAATGACTGAATGTTATGGAATATTCTTCATGTAACAAATTCATTTAATTGTTCTTTGTATATTCAGTCTTATGTCCTAGTCTACCTCTGTTATCATCATGTAGTATAGAAGAAAGATTATCCAGCCTGTGTTTATCATTTACAGCTTTATATCAGCTCATGTCCATTACGTATCCTTTGAGAATTTTAGTGCCGTTACTTTTGCCCAACTTACAGTACAGTCTTTTTTTCATACTCAGCTGAGATTTTACTCAAATTTGAAGCAGCTATTACAGGTGTATAACTGATTGTATCAAACAAAAAATACAATACAACTATACCTTACTGCACAATGTTTGTAGCATTATCACATTAATCTTTCAAATTTCATGCTAGCGACTTGTGTTTCAGATATGCAATCCTCATTAGAAAAGCTCGATTTTCTAAGGCATATAATTACAGTAAACAGGAGTGAGAAGTTATTTATTTATTGAGTATTAGCCCAAGATTTCTTTCAATGAGTCTTCTTTTACAATGTTTATGTGTTCTATATATAATTCTTTAACTGAACTCTCTAGTTATGAAGGTTTGTTTCTATCATCATTATGTATGTTGTTATATTATTGGTTGTCTATGGAAAATGAAAACTCACAAAATAAATCACGTAAAGTAAGTTATCTTCTGTATCATTGTTCAACTTTAAAAACTTTATGATATAATCTGTTATATCTGCCACTATCCTAACATCTTTACAATGTCAAGCTATTACGATGAGTCAAATACATTGACTGCAATAGTCACCTTTCTTGTATCATGGAATTTAGGAAATGCAGTGATTTAATTGGATTGTAGACTTGCGAATACAGCCAATCATAGCCTCAGATTACACAAGCAGCCACATTGTTCTCATGTGAACTGTATTAATTTTGTTGTTGTTGATATTTTCAGAAATTAAGTGAGATTAGTTTTGATAATGAGATTTTACTAAGTAATAAAAATCATAATGACGTCACCAGATCTCTAGAGATTTCAGATCTACGTAGAACTTTCTTTTTTGTATCCTTTTCTTAACAAACTGATACAATTACAATGAAGACCTTTCTAAGAGAAGTTATTTAGGCGGAGACATGTTGGAAAGTTTTGTTCAGTCATTTGTTTCAGTTACAGTGGAACCTCGCTATCTGTACTCTCTTTACTGGGAACAGAATATGTATTATGTAACATTACACTTTAATCCAGTGATTTGGTTTCTGGTTCCGTATGGCTGTGATTGGCAACTAATGGTATATTTGAATATAATATTGTTAAACCTAGGTTAAGCAAACATATTTGTGCACATCTATGGTCAAGTAAAAACATAAAGCTATATTTAACCTTTCTAGCAGAGATAAAGCTAAATAATGGCTGTGAATTCTTATCTGGATTTATGTACAGCCACAATTGGGTACAGATAATCTGGGAAAAACACTTCAGTTCCAATACAAAGAAATTAAATATTTAAGCTGTCATTCAGTCTATTTAGATTGCTATTAATTTGTATGCACCCGAGTATATCATTTGAAATTCATATTATTTGATTTCCTTAACCAGTAATAAAGATATTTTTAACGTTAATAGGATTTTTTGGAACTGGAAATATTGCCAGTATCAACAGGTAAGGTTCTGTTATTTTATTGTGGTGATGAACTGCCACTCCCTTCTATAAACCAGTTATGCAAACTGGCGTTTATCTTTCGATAAACTGTAATTTGTCACATGGCGTATGAATACATCCCAAAGCTCAACAATGACTCGATAAATAATAACCAATCAGATAAAGTAATGAAATAAAGAAATATCTGAATATAGATATATAAGAATTAACCATTGGTCTCAATAGCGTTATTGGCGTTTAAACACAGTTGATCATGTGACTTTGTCATTCATTCAGTTTGTCACATGATCAATTCCTTTGTGAATTGTGAATTTGTTATCCTTGTAAAATATAGTTAACAAAACACAAGACAATATTATGGAATATAACACACTTTTTTAATAAGGTTAGTTTATGAAAGAAGTGTGTTATATTCTATAATATTATCTTGTGTTTTGTTATATGTGCTTCTCGCTTCTATATGTCGTTCAAATTTTATAAAACATAGTTGTTTTTTCTTTTCAGTTTTGATCCATCATCTGTGTATTGTTTTTTAACTGTTTTTAATCCTTTTGTTATGGGATTTCTAATGATGGTGAAGGTAAGTTAAATTAATCAAACTAAATATGTTGCTTTGGCATCTAAAAAAGTCTTTTGTGTATGTGGGATAGCTTTAGTGGTGAAAATTCTAATTCATTATGTTTTGCACACTATGAAAGCCTGATGCATTCGATGCCTTTGTCATATACCTTGACGGCAGCAGCTGCCTTTGTTAAATCATAGAATGTAGCAATTTGATTGGATTGTACTCAGTGAATACAGCCAATCAAAGCCCTCAATAGAAATACTGTAAACATTGTGACTTGGTGATTATTTACTTTTTGTCCAGGCCTCTGAATGGCTGTTTATGCAAGAATACGATCCAATCAAGTCGCTGCATTTAACAACTTCTGTGATACAAGAAATGTGGCTATTGCAGTCAAGGTATAAGTCAAAGTAAGATTGAGTATAGCAACTGTTTTTTAGCTAAAAATCATCTTCTGTGTTTCTGGGGGTAAATATCATTATATTTGCCTATCATTCCACGGCTGCAACCAGCAAGTACTTGTTCACGATCAATATCATCATCCACTAAAGCTGTATTTCTATCTTTCAGAATTTAATACCTCTATTAATAGTAACGTGTGTATTTCGAGGTGTACATGTTATAACACGAGTACCAACAAAGGCTTTATTTTTACTGGTACTCATCATGTCTGATTTTATGGGTTTGGTGAGTTTTTCATAATGTTAAAGGGATAGATTCTATTACTTCTGAAGACTATTTACTTATTTTCAAAACTCTGATAAACCCCCAAAAATGGAGCATCTGTCCCTTTAATACAATACCTAAAAAATAAGAATGTCTGTCAAATAGCTAAACAAAGATTAGAAGCAATATGTTCCATATGGAACAGAGTTGTGTTTAAATTCTTGGCTCCCTTTTGAAGACAGATTTTCAAAATTACAGGTGCCCCCCCCCCCAAGTAGGTTGTGAAGCAGGGTTAAAGTGGTCTGCTGGTATGAATAATTTGCCTATCATTCCACGGCTGCAACCAGCAAGTACTTGTTCACGATCAAGTGAAACCAGATAACTTCCCAAAAAGTTAATAATTGTTTTTATACTATTTTTTTTTTCAGCATTTTTTCTTCTTGGTACAAGACACGGGGTCCTGGCTGGACATAGGAACTAGTATCAGTCATTATATTATAGTTATGACTATGATTATATTTCTTATTCTATTGTTTGGACTCTCACAGATTCTTATGACTTTTAAACTCAGATTACGGTAATACAGCGCCGTGGGTTCAAATCTCTATCATGGAAGGTAGAAGCTTAAACGCTAAATTTTATATCCTGTGCTATTGTTGGTTGGGCAAAAATTAAACAGGTGTGCCAAGATTATATTTGGGAAAACTGCGCTACAGGTTCAAGCCTGGAGGATATTATTACTGTTCATAAATCTTATTTTTATGAGTTTTTGTGTGTTTGTGAGTAGATTATGTTTATGTTCAGGTGTAAACGTCATTTTGTCAAAATGGCTGTTGTTGAATTTTTAATATTTATATTTTATGTAGTGGGGCAGGCTAATGCCGCTGTCCTGACAAAATTTCCCTCATTGCACCCTGCATGGTGTTGCCCGTCTCCATTAGCCCACATGGTGCTGAAAAGTATGACGTAAAACTCCATTGTTTGTTATATAGTGGGTATATAAATGGTATATTTTTCATATTTATTATGTTCATTCTTTAATTTATTCTTTTGATAAACTTTTCACATTTTTACCAGTTGTTTTGTACCTTTAGTGTCAAACAATTGTTTCTTCAAGACCTGTCAGTGGTGTCAAATATCACAAGAATCAACAAGAATGAATGTCCAGGGATAATTGAAACTATACCAGTTAGACATTAATTGTGTTCATTACTACTAAGGAAATACTTAAACATCCTCAATAAATCATCACAAATGTCCCAAATATAATGGCTCCAATAAACACTTGTCAGGTGACTCACTCAAAAACTCTGCCCACTAATCTGTGAAATTAAGCCCTATAGTGTGCAGTGGAGCCAATACATGAAAGCAAGTAATAGGTTAGAAATTCGGCAAACTCAGATATTTCGCCTCCTCCCCCTCAGACGTAAACCTAGCTCCTCCACTGATAGTGTGGCTTCACTTCATCTCAAGATACTTTGAATGATAAAACAAGGCCTGAGAGTGACAACAGTCTAACCTGCAAAAAGTTTTGGTTAAATTGTACAAGAACAGGAAGTCTGATTTTAATTATGAAAAGGGGACATAGATGGCTGAAATGGAATTGTAGCAGCTGGAAATGTGTTCTATTAAAAGCATATACTATACCCCTGAATGAGTCTATTGAATAAATCAATTAAGGTGCCCTCACAACCAATTGCGTCTGGTTGAGGATAACAAAAGTGGCACGAGAGATGAGTTAGACTGCTATTCTTAATAGGCCATTTGTAACTGTTGATTGCTATGGTGTGAGGGACGTTTGAAATGATAAATACAAACAATGCAAGTTGAAATAAGAGAATCACATGATGATGTTTTATTTAACAATTGAAAATGTTTATAATTCATTATATATAACAAATCTACAAACATGTACTTTAATCAGTGGAGCCCCAGGGGGGATACAGGTGAGGCAATCGTATCCCCAGAAAAAGTTTGTACCCCCATTTGTATCCCCTTATAATTTTTGTGAAGTTTCAAAATATGACTTTTATAGTCTTTTGCCCCAAATATGATTCAGTATACATCATGTCAATATAATTTTTCAAAATATTTTCAGGGTGAAACCATTAATAACAAGGTTGCTAGCTTCATCATTTACAATCTCTATCCAGTTAGTATTGTAGTGGAATCATATAATATTTCAATCATCCTTATCACTGTGCTACGTAACCAGAGGTTTTCAACGTGGTAAAACAAGGTCAAGGTGTCTAATGGAAGTAATTTGAATCTACAATATTTGGCAAAATGGCAAAATAGCTAAAATAAGTTGTGTACAGAACTTAGTAAGAACACTAGAAGACCTTAACAATACACCAAACATTTCATGTAATATTCACAGAGTTTTAAAAGCTAAAATGGGAAGCAACTCTTGAGCCAAATTCTTGAAAGCAGCGAATGAATGTAGTATTATAAATGCAGAAGAAAAGAGAAGTGATTACAATGGATACTGATCTGGACATGGTGTAGATATGATTCTATTTTAGACTGTATTGATAACCTCTACTGTACATAATCTATTTACACAGTTAGACTGATTTCAGAGTTTAAGACAGCTGATTTGTTAGTAACGAATAATAAAATGTTTAACATCTTTATTCACACCTGATGACGATGAGACTAATGATGATGAGGCTAATGACGATGAGGCTAATGATGATGATTAATGACATTAAATGTTCTACTGAAAGTCATACTGAATATATTTAACAGAAATCAATCAGATAATTAAATTTTTTTGCATCTATGTGTTACATTTTCAAGAAATTGGATCTAAATCATAAATCTCAGAAACTGGACCAATCATACTTTAATCTCAGAAACGGGAACTTTTAACTAAGCCAATCAGTAATAGTTTCAACAGCTTACCAGCGAAATTTGAGCCTTCAAATCAATTGGTTCCTTGGTCCTAAGTCTCAAAAACTTAACTCCAGATTCCAGAAATACAGTAATCTGATTGGATAATAACGAACCAAATTAAAATTGATTTTAGTGATTAACCAATCAAGTGACTGAATTATTAAAATCATTTAAAATTAAGTTTTGAAGAAAGGGCACCTTGATGATATATTAATGTTAATGAGCAAAAATGATAAACTAAACAAACTAAAATCTTGGTCCTTAAACATTAATGAAACAATACAAATCAAACTTTGTGTATCAGTCATATATTTACATTTACAATAACAAAATCTTCTCACTGTTAAAATACTGCTTAATATAACAATTGTAGAGCTATGTAGAAATATTTAAACAGAACCTAAAAATAACACGTTGTTACTCAGAGTTTCACGTTATACGCTCTTCCTGCCTACCTGAAGATCACACAGCATGAAACTTTGAGTAACAGCATGTTTTTTTAGGTTCTGTTTTAATATTTCTATATGTACATTTACGTGGCTTTATTAGACAAGGTTCTTAAAATATCCTCAATTAGACAAATCTTAAACAGGTTTCACTGCCACACGAACTGAAAATTGGCTACATTTCAACAATTTTCAAATAGAAAAATCAAAATGATGATCCTTGATAAATATTTTTATTCCATTTATTTCTGCTCATCTGGGTCTGATGAAACATGAGTAGTCCACTTTATATTGAAGTAGAATATAGTAATAGAAACTATAGAGACTAAACTTACATTGTGTTGATTACTACTTACACTGCTTGAACATAAAGTGGAATGCTCATGCTATGTTTGGACCAGGATTTGCATGAATTTGGCTATAATTTGGCTATAATATGTTTGTGTTGATTACCACTTGCACTACTTGAACATAAAGTGGAATGCTCAAGCTATGTTTGGACCAGGATGAATATCTAAAATTTGGCTAAAATGTTTTAGTTTGGAACACCTTGATATGGTTATTTTGAGTTTCGATCAGAATATGGTACAATATATATAATATGTAATGGTGTGGTTTGATAGGCCACTATGATGTTATTCAAACAAATTTAAAAATCAATTAAAAGATAACTAATCAGGGAAATTAATTAATGAAATCCCTGCCAGTCACTGACATCTGAGTCTTCATCCCACTCTACTCTGGTACAGTGTATACCATTCTTTAAAGCTGGAGTCCCCTTTCCTTTACCTGGAAAATAAAGACAGGGTGGAAATTTAGTTAAACGATCGTAAACATAAAATCAAAACAGTGCAAGGCATTGAATACATCAACATGGACGCTACCGCAAGAATGGTGGACATTGACCTTATTCATGCGTCATCCATATTGAATCCAGAACGAGGCTCATAACGAAGAAGTTAACGGCATGTTACTGCAGGAAAATCTCCACTTTGACGTCTTCTGCAGCTCTAGTAACTTAAAACTGATCATATTTTACATCATTAGAATTTGAGTTGATATCAGATGAAGTTTACCATCACACTGAGAAAGGGCAGTTCAAAGCCCATTTTCTTGCGGTTGATCAGGTGTTCAGTGACATTCATGTAACATCCCCATCTTATAAACGGACGACATTATTTGCTTTATGAACCTAGCTTTCAGTGTATCAATAAACGAGGCATGAATAAGATCTTGCCTTAATAATAAGATCTGAAACTATTACAAATTTCTACCGTGTTTTACTGAAGCAGGTTATTAGGGATCCATTGAAAATTATTTATGATATCACCTGAATTTCAAACAGGCATCACTAGACATTTTATACACCTGTACTTGAATTGAGACAGAATTGTGATTTATAGGTTTAATAATTATAAACTCTTTTCATAAGTCGGAATTAGGGCCATAACACCAAAATGTTTTTGTTCAATTACATGAGCAGTAAATACAACCAAATCACGTTCACTATATACTTTTAATATTACTAATTGTTTGTAATGTATTAAATTCTAGGGAACAGATTAAACTGGCAATTATAATCTCTAGCTATTAGTAAAATGATGATAAAGTGGTCTGTAGTGGTCTGTAATCAATATAAGATAGTACTTGAATAAAACATCTCCATTGTCGTAAAACCCTTAGTTTTAATGGAATTGAAACAACCACAATCATCTGGTAAGAAATTAGAACATGCACATTAAAACAGTTCAAATCAGTGTTCCTAATACAAATAAATTTTTTAGAAAACCTCTTTACAATCAGTTAAAAACAGTGTGTTCTAAAAACAGTGTGTTCTAAAAACAGTGTGTTCTAAAAACAGTGTGTTCTAAAAACAGTGTTTATAACTGTATAAGAAGTTTACTTGATTAAAATTACTGTTTGTTTTATTCAAATAGCATTTAAATGACCCGTTACTAAATTAAATAGAAACATCCATTACATGTAGCATGGTTAATTATAGACTATGGATTGTACAAAGCTGTGGCAAAACAGTTCAGTTGAAGAATCAACTGGGTAAATTTACTGTTTAAGTTATACTAATGGCATTTTAATGACAGTAAAAATCTTGTTAAAAGAAACATCAACATAATTCAACATTGTACAACACCAGTGAGACAATACTGCTGCTATGGCTGAATGCCCTCCTTGCCCAATGCACAGCATAAGATCCTCAAGTAGAGAAAAGTAGAAATTAAAAAATTGGAATGACCTTTGAGTCAATCTTGTCCACCAGCAGAGTTACCTGGCCTGGTATTCTCGAAACGATCTTAGCTCTAGGATGTCCTAGAATCAATGTTAGAAGATAAGAACTTAGGATATCCTAGAATCAATGTTAGAAGATAAGAACCTAGGATATCCTAGAATCAATGTTAGAAGATAAGAACTTAGGATATCCTAGAATCAATGTTAGAAGATAAGAACTTAGGATATCCTAGAATCAATGTTAGAAGATAAGAACTTAGGATATCCTAGAATCAATGTTAGAAGATAAGAACTTAGGATATCCTAGAATCAATGTTAGAAGATAAGAACTTAGGATATCCTAGAATCAATGTTAGAAGATAAGAACTTAGGATATCCTAGCACTAGGATCCTTTTGAGAATACGTGACCAGAGGTATTCCAGCTTCATGATGTAGAAACGATTACATATTGATAGGGCGTTTCACTGTAACAGGTAAACCTCATATTAGAGACCTGGCTTGGTATTCTCGAAACGATCTTAGGGCTAGGATGTCCTAGAATCAATGTTAGAAGATAAGAACTTAGGATATCCTGGAATCAATGTTAGAAGATAAGAACCTAGGACATCCTAGCACTAGGATCGTTTTGAGACTACGTGGCCAGGAGACCAGCAAAAATAAACGGCCTATAAACCTTATTCATGTATCTGCCATATTGAATCCAGAACGAGGCTCATAACAAAGAAAGGTAACGAAATGTTATTACAGTGAAATCACCATATTGATGTCCTTAAAGCCTCCTTCTTCAATCCCACTAACTCAAAATTAATCATCTTTTACATCATTAAAATTGGAATTGAATAAGCTATTTAATGATACTTTGAGATAAATTTTACCTTCATACATATAGCCATCTTATCAATGGATGACGTAATTTGCGTTATGAACCTCGCTTTCAGTGTCTCAAAACAAGGCATGAATAAGATCTATGGATGTGAAACACAGTTCTGTATACAGAAATATATAGGTGATTTAGAAAAGAAAGAATATAATAAATATTATCAGAGAGCCTCAATAATTCTCTAAAATATCATAAATATTCATTTCTACAGTTCTGCCGCGGGTTATCTAGAATATAGCTGAAATCAAATCATACGTAAATTATACTCGGACTATTATGGTTTCTGAATAACATACAGTCTATCATTTCTAAATGAACAGAGATATTAATTTAAGATTTGATATTTGGCAGAAGCGAAGGGAAATATTAACTTAAAGATATGAAACATTTGGCAGAAGAGCAACTTATTACAAACATCAACTGAAATGAAAGAAATTTTACAATCCTACTCTTCTACAATTACCTAGGATAATGAAGACGGTCATAGCCATGCAGTGTACAATGATGCCTGGACAGTGGTATCAACATACTCTTTTTCAATTTCCAACTATTAAGGTATCGTTAATGTGGACAATCTGTAGCACACGGGGCTGAACGACTAAAAGCTTAGCGGTGATTAAGAGCATGAAATTTGTATCATACATTTATTTTAGAAGATTCGACACAACAGCAACCATCATGCAATGAAAAATTTAAACTTAAGTCATACATTAATCTTAGAACTATCGCTTCATAAGTGTTTTACGCAGATTACAGTTTCAAAAACAATTAAAAATCAATTTCACCAGGTTTCATCAAAATCACCTTAGAAATATGTGACTCAGCGAATCACACCCTCACACTTTCATGGCTTACATGAGCCATTTTTACTACTTGTTGTTTTAATGAATAAAAAAAACTCCAATTATGATGGTCAAACCACAAAATGAAACATGAAATCCAAAATAACAGTTTTGAATACATTGGTAGCAGCAACAGACTGACAAAAGCTCCTGAATATTAATATGAGCAACTCAATCTAATCTATTAACTGACAAGGGGGTGTATTTTTAACAATGAATGAGTGTCTAGCTGCCAGCTCTAGACAATGGCAATATGAATTTGTATCATGACAGAATATCATTAATTTTGTGTATGTAATTTAGCTACAGGTTGTATAAGCTATAGCAGTAGGGAAACAGTTATTGACAGAGAGACAGACCATTATAAACACATACAGGATTCCAAAACTCAATAATAACAGTTATTATGATTATGATACAGAAATGATTAGTTTTTTTTATTGTGTTATCACACCGTGAAACTCTCTCATTGAAATTGGTCAAAACTGGTGAAGGTTACACAAAGGTGTTAAAATGTCAGTTTTTTTCAGTAATGTAATCACAGAGAGGACTGGATGTAGCAAAGTTAGTTAGGGTGTTGGAATCTTAACGTTATTTACTTGGTTACATAACACAAATAGTTGTCATAGGTTGGTATAAGATAAGATGCTCTCTTATAGAAGCACTGGCCTAGGTCACAAGTAGATTATGGATTTCATCATTGGAATACATCAATTTGATAGGAAATTACCTACTTCTGGAGAGATTTACAAGATAAACAAATAATTCAGAAATGCAAAGTGATTGTTTCAGGGAGTTAATGAAAGGGGATCTAATCTACCATGGGCAAGAACATTACTCAGATTTTTATTCCTTTTGTAAGCAGTCACCAAACATTTAGTATACATGTTTGGGAATTCTTCCTGAAGTTCTTTATAAAAGCGTTTGACAATCACAGAGGCTGGTGTAAGATGATGATGAGAACATAGTCTCACGAAAGCACTGTCCTAGGTCACAAAGTAAAGATTTATGATAAAACAAGGTGCAAGTTAAAGGTTAAGATAATTAGATATGTTAACTAAGGATGTCTCTGTAATACTATCTGTGGTAGTATCAAAGGTTAAGATAATTAGATATGTTAACTAAGGATGTCTCTGTAATACTATCTGTGGTAGTATCAAAGGTTAAGATAATTAGATATGTTAACTAAGGATGTCTCTGTAATACTATCTGTGGTAGTATCATTTCTAAGTTGGTGTTAGGGTGTATTGAGACGTGTGTGGAAGTCTGATGACCTTGAATTAGTTGTTTTCTTCAATGAACCTACAGTAGAGACAACCGAGGTACAGATAATCTGGGAAAGATCAATGCCAAGAGGTTTGACCAACTGGACAACATGATCTCTCTTCCAAGTTATTGTCCTTATAAAATAATTGTTTCTTTATCTAGTCTGGTCTATCTGAATCATGTTTTAGAACTGTATTCTATATTTTACCTAAGGAAACCGTCTGGTATGAGTAACTTTTAGAAGTTTTTAAAATCTTATTGTAAGTTTATACAGTATATTGTTATTACAGAGGAATTCTTCATGATAATAATCTACAGACTGGGTTTTAATGTGATTTAGCTTTTAAAAATAAACATTAATGTAGACAATAACTTTTCTACTGATGACTGTCTGGGAGGATACGTGACATGTAATCCCAAAAGATCAGTCAGTGGTAATCCTTCCTCTTTCTATCTTTAAAGAAATTGGTTTGTTTTTCAATCATTCTAAAAGCATTGTTGGTATTCTGGTTTCTACACAGTGATATTTGTTGTAGACAGATCCTTGCTAAAAACAGACATTTGAGCTGGTCTGTCAGTCATGTCTGGAAAAATACAGCAAAATCAGCAGCCCTGATTTGTTTGAATTATTTGGACACATTGTTGACTTTCCTTACTTTTTGTTGAGGTTCTACAAGACAAGTCAATTAAAGCAACAATATTTGTACAAGGATAACTACTAATTCTTTCTACCAGCTGGTCCTTGGCCAAACCTCTGGCGGTAGCGATCTTTTCCCAGATTATCTGGCTGGTATAATTAGGAAAGATGACTTATTTAAGGTCACAGGTTTGAGAACGTCAATCAAGATGAGAAGGGTTAATTCCTTTCCGGGCTATGATTATACTTCCACATGTGGATAAAGAAAATTGATATGGTTTGTAGAACATCACAATAATTAAGTTTTTATGGATTTTATCTGTTTTCATAATTCTTAAAAGATTATGACAAGCTTATTTTGATAGGCTGAAGGCAGAACCGTATACTGAACAGATAAAAAAAACATCCCAAAGCACAGAAAATAGTGAATTGTTTATTCAAATTTAAATAAAACAAAAGATAATTGTCAGAAAAAAACCACGTTTGGCACAAAGGATTGTTTGAATGTCTTTCAAGTTATTGCTATAAAGTTATTGCTATAACATATCAAGGTTCCGATCATGTGATGCTGAAAGTCAGGGTCAATTCCTTTCCGGGTAGAAGATAATATATAAATACTATAAAAAATACCCACCTAAAACTCTGGCATGTAAAACTAAGGTGAGATATTTTTCTTTATCATTTCTACTCTTTAACAAAATAGATTCTGTCAGTAATTTTTCTCTGTGGGCGTTAAAATTTAACAATATTTCATGGCCAGTACCTGAAATAAAAATAAAATACCCTTTTTTGACTTTGTGTTTGGGTAATATGACAATAAAATTCACATAAAAAGCATGGAACGAGGTAGAACATTATATTTTTTAAGTTAAATTTAATTCAGTTAGTATATTTGAAATAGGAAAAATTGGACGATTGGTAGGCTATTTTACACTGATAGGTTTTTATACTCAAGTCTTCTGCCACAAAAAAACTTAAAAAGTGTCTCATTTCAAGAGTTAGGTCATCCATGAAAATGATACATTTATTTCTGACCCTATCCATGGTAAAAGTCATCAAAATTATCTATTTGAGTCTGTATACATTGTTACATAGTCAGATTGGTGACATAAATATGTGAAATAAGTATAAAATCATGAGATGAATGAATAATTTGATCAATGTTTGATGATGTATGATTGCTATAATAAACTAAGTTAACAAGACAAAATTAACATCTAATGTTCCTTAATCTTCTACAGAACGTCAAAAGACTTGAATAACTATAGAATTCTCAGAGCTAATAACATCAATCTAAATATAGTTCTACAGCTAAAAATACATCACCTAACAATCATTTTACAATCGCAAGTCTATTTCTAGAGGATAAAAATTGAACAAATTGAAGACTCGGCACGTCATCGATGACTACCAGAACTTGACCTTCCAGCAGAAATATATTTTTGTCCTTGCCTAGCAGATGTCATTATGTCAACAATGTCAGGCCCATTGTCATCAATAACTTCCAGAACTTGACTTTCTGGTAGAAATATTTTTTTGTCCTTGCCAAGAAGATGACATTTTGACAACAATGCCAAGCCCAGGGACAACAAACTTTATTCATACTTAGCCAATATTTAAATCATATTTAAAGCAGGCCTGTAGCTAGATGATTGTTCGTAGGGGCCAGTTTTATAACCACAGGGGCAATGGTCTATGGTACTTTGTTATCTGATTTTTTGAAAGGGGGCGGGGGGATGGGAGGGGCAATCTATTTTTTCAATGTCTTATTAGATATTAAATTTCTAAAACAGAATAATGGCTGTATGGCCTCTGTAACTATGTATCAGTAAAAATCTCATGCTGACAAAGGTCTTTCTTCAATGAGCAAGGGATTGTAAAGAAGTTTTCTTTTGTATATTATCAATTTTCTTCATTCTTTTCAATCAGGTGCCTGTGGTTCCTGCAATCCCACTAAAACTAAGCGTTTTATGATGTCACTCATCGTTAAGTCCTTATATGATTAAGCATATTTTACAATTAGTGACGTCAGAAAACATTCACTTAGTTTTAGTGGAATTGCAGGAACCACAGACCTCTGATTGAAAATAGGCATGGTGCAAACTGATGCTATCATTGTCCCTGATATACAAAAATGTTTTAGAAAACTTCTTTACAATCCCTTTAATAATTTTTCAAATTTTTCTCAAAGAAATCTTATATTACAATAATAACATTTCATTGATTTTACATGTATTCAGAAGAATAATTGATGACATGACTGTAATTCCACATGCTGACAAATAAAATTGATTATGGTTTGCAGAACATCACAATAATAAAGTTTTTATGGATTTTATCTGTTGTCATAATTCATATCTTGCTAGGCTGAATACAGGGCAGTAATTATATCAAGGCAAATGAGGCAAATACTCATGAAGAATTTGACAAAAAAGAAATTTTGTTTAAAAAAAAATGTGTAATATCTCATCGTGATTTTCTATAGAACAAACATGCATGTTTATTGTTTCCAAAGTTTTGTTTTTAATCATACAGGCAGTTACGCTGGTAAAATGTTACAATATTGCAACCATGACAGTAAAGGGTTAAACTAGTGCTCAATATATCAATTATAGAGGGAAACAGAAATACTTCATATACAGCTAGTAAGCAAACTACTTAAAATTTAAAATAGAATTAACAAGAAGATCCATCATGAAATATCAAGCTTGCTTTAAACTATAACAAATTAATATTATGGTGGGGTCACATGAGCGTTTTTTCGCCAAATTGTCGATTTAAAATAACCCATAAAATTTACTCATGTGCATGATAATTTGACGACAATTTCATATGCTGTACGAATTGCCGATTATTCACGCTGGTGATTCCATTAACTGACAAATCCCTTGTGCGACGTATTTTATCGGGCAATCAATACTGTTAAACCCATGCGTGTGATGTTGATAACATGTGATGTTTAAAATGGCTGACATGTCATGATTGAAGGATAATCACGTAGTGACCTAAGTTCGCTATGTGTGACCTGTTGTGATCAGGCGTCAAATATCCCAGCTGACTTTAATGGACGTGATCAGGCGAAAAAATACCCGTGTCTACCCTTAGCATAAGTTGTCTAATTACATAGGTATTCAAATAGCTAACATAGAATCACCACTTGTTTACTTCATTTCACCTGATTTTCTTCAAATATTGAATTCTTTGATCAAATGAATTTAAATAATGTCATAAAACTGGCATACAAACACATTGAACTTTAAAATAAAATCACCAAGAAGATCAATCGTTTAACGCCATTAATCATCCAGCATGATTTCAGCTCGTTTTTAGAACATTAGACAGGATTTCTTCTTCTGTTGAGTTCCAGAGTTAAATGAATGTAAAGAATCTAGTGAAGGTTGTATTCAAATATATTCTAAACCTAACTAGAATCATCAATACCAATCATTAGCTATTACAAACTCCATCTTATACCTTGACTCATCTTTATAATGTCAAGTTATTACAAACTTCATCTTATACCTTGACTCATCTTTACAATGTCAAGTTATTACAAACTTCATCTTATAGCTTGACTCATCTTCACAATGTCAAGTTATTACAAACTCCATCTTATACCTTGACTCATCTTTACAATGTCAAGTTATTACTAACTGCATCTTATAGCTTGACTCATCTTTACAATGTCAAGCTATTACAAACTTCATCTTATACCTTGACTCATCTTCACAATGTCAAGTTATTACAAACTCCATCTTATACCTTGACTCATCTTCACAATGTCAAGTTATTACAAACTTCATCTTATACCTTGACTCATCTTCACAATGTCAAGCTATTACAAACTTCATCTTATACCTTGACTCATCTTTACAATGTCAAGTTATTACTAACTGCATCTTATACCTTGACTCATCTTCACAATGTCAAGTTATTACAAACTTCATCTTATACCTTGACTCATCTTCACAATGTCAAGTTATTACAAACTCCATCTTATACCTTGACTCATTATGATAAAAACTAGTACTGGGTATTGAAAGATATTGAAATGGAAAATAGAATCATCAAGAGAACTATTATTAAATATCAGCAGGAAAACAGCATGGAAGTTATTTCTTTTCTTCCAGAAAATATCAATTTAAAATGAAACTAACTTCTGTGAAATCATTCCCAACATGATATCTCCTGAAGAAACACAAGATAACATGTCAGGCAAGGTTATATACGCCCACTAGCAGCTTTGATTTTGAATAAATATATTTGGTAGTACAGTAACAATCACCAGTATGATTAACCTTCAGTCATACACTTCTTTCAAACTTATTCGGCTGATAATGAATAATATCACCAAGTTTAGTCAAAATCTGGCAAGAATTGTACCTTTTAGAGTGTTTATGAGCTAAATATTTAATTTCAAGAACAAGGGCAGCAACTCATATCAAATATTATTTGATATTCTTGATTTTCAATAGGGTTCATCCATGAGTGATTACAGACACACCAAGTTTCTTCAAAATTTTTCAAGAATTGGGCTGTTTAGAGTATTTATGAGCAATTGTGGACGGATGGAGCAACAGTTGGACGTGGGTGACATCAATATACACACCACATTTGATGTGGGCAAACAAGAATGTGTTAAGAAATGATAACAATTGTAATGAAGCTGAAAATATTTTCAGTGGTACAATATTCCTGTATTAATATTGGGAAGATGTTGAATCTAATTCCTAATTTAAATTTAATCAGTTTTCAAACAAAAGTTGAGTTTTTGAGAAACATGCGTATCAGTTATACTGATTGCTGAAATTAAGCTAGAGCTGTTAACTTGGAAAGCAAACATTTCAAAAACTATTCCACTTGAATAAAACTCAAGGTTTACATGATTTCTTTCTAATATGTTCACTATGAAAATTGGCAACAACTTGAATATTACATGTTAAAACAGCAGGTTTTTAAATTTTATAATATTATCACCTGGTGCATGTTTTAATGTTTTAAAGGGAAAACCAATAGTGGAAATATAATCTTAAAAATGATTAAATAAATTACGGTTTCATCTCAACATTCATCTTTAATGTTTCCAGAAATATGAAAACAGACCCTGAAACATGTTGTAAATCAGAGTTTCATGCTGTGTGATCTTCATACAACTAACTTATTTCATTTTATTTTATTGAAAAGTAGACATATTCTGAAAACAGCACTGTATCTTTACTGAAGTTTTGAAAAGAAGCAATATGTCCCTATCGAAGTTTGACAAGTATGGCTTTTTCTCAGGTCTAGAATGATGGAAGAATTCAATAGAAATATCAATTAGACTTTTTATTCCAAGAATATTTCACCTGATGTAAACTCTAATATCTTCTTTTAAGATAAACAGGAATTTATTAGTCTGATAATCAACAAGTATTTTGCACGTAACTTGGCAAAAACTAGTCAGATGAGAGTAGGAAGGTAAGGAAAGTGAGGAGGGAGGGGGGCTAGTTAGACAGACATAATGTTGAACCAAATTTCCTGTCAGAAAATCTTGCAAAGGATCTTGCAAATACCATTAAAACTAAGGGTTTTATGATGTCACTGATGCAAAAAGCTGTTTATCTTATATTTGCGATAGTGATGTCATAAAAAGTTTTTTAGTTTTTTAAAAGTAATACTGGAAAACCCACGGACGTCTGACTGAAAATTAGAAAGGTGTAAATTTGATGCTTAAAGTGTTTCCAATATACATAAAAAGTTGAGAAAACATCTTTACAAACCTGT